GTTGGGCAGAGTATCCCCTGGAGGGAAAGCAGGGCTTTCCCTAGCCTCGGGCTAGCTACACCGGGTGGAGCTCACCTAGCTGGGTGTGGTGCAGGCATAAATGCCCTAGGCTAAGGGGAGTGGTCTGGAGGTCAGCAGTGGAGTGTGAGAGAACAGGAAAGAGACAGAGAGGAGAAAAAAAAATTAAGAAGTAAGACTGTTTAGACTGTGCGGGAATATAGGGAAGAGAGGGAAACAAGAGTAACTGAGGGAAACAAAAGCAACTATGTAGCTGAGTCCCACTCCCCACCAGTGGAGTTGCAAGGGTTTAGTCCCTGCCCCGAGGAAGAGGCAGCAAGTAGCAGCTGAGCCGAGAAAAAGCCCCTGTGCAGCCCTCAAAGACCGTGGGGGGACAGAGAGGAGAGATGTAAACAAAAGCAACAATGTAGCTGAACCCAAATCCCTGCCTGTCGAGCTGCGGGGGTTTAGTTCCCACCCAGAGGCGGCAGTGGCAAGTTGTGGTTGTGCTCAGAAAAAGCCCCTGCGCAGACCTCCAGGGTTGTGGGGGAATGGAGAGCAGAGGTGTAAACAAAAGTAACACTGTAGCTGAACACCGATCGATCCCTGCCCATGGAGCTGCAAGGGTCCAGTCCCTGCCCTTAGGCAGGCGGGGGCAAACTGTGGCTGTGTTGAGACCAAGCCCCCCTATAGGCTTCAAATCGTCCCGGCTCCGGCAGCGACAGTGGCGGGGTCAAGGTCAAGCCCCAGCTGGCTTCCACTGAGGTAAGCCTAAAGCCCCCAGCCCCTCAACATCCCATGGGTCTGTGCCTACTTATCTTTATGATGCTCATCCTGCGTTCCAGCTGTGTTAAAGTTTTCTCTAAGCAACTCTCCTGGGCTGGATTCTGTGGAGGCCATCTGGTAGGTGTCACGCCATCGCCATCTTCCCCCATCATCCCCCACTATCATGATCCCAATTCTACCTTACAAATATAGCTAGAACAGAGGATGTACACTGTTACAGATAGGAATGGGAAACACAGGGAATCCAGGGCACATGATCCCTTCAGGACCAGTGCTGTGAGTGGCGATACTGGGAGGGTGGAGGGAGGGTGGGCTGGAAAGGGGGAACCAATTACAAGGATCTACATATAACCTTTTCCCTGGGGGACAGACCACAGAAAAGTGGGTGAAGGGAGACGTTGGACAGGGCAAGATATGACAAAGTAATAACATAAATTATCAAGGGTTCATGAGAGGGGGGATTGGGGAGGGAGGGGAAAAATGAGGAGCTGATGCCAGGGGCATAAATGTTTTGAGAACGATAACGGCAATGAATGTACAAATGTGCTTTACACAATTGATGTATGAATGGATTGGGATAAGAGTTGTATGAGCCCCTAATAAAACAATTTAAAAGAAAAAAACCCAACATTTTCTTCAGACCTTTTAATTTCTGTAATTCTAGAGAGCAAAGACATCTCATGATGCTCCATGAACTCACAAACTGAAATCAACCCTGGTTGCACAAATGGTTAAATATTCTACTACTATCCAAACGTTTGGCAGTTCAAACCCATACAGAGGCACCTCTGGAAAGAGATTAGGGAGGGGGCAGGTAGGTCTGTGTAGAGATTGGGGGCGGTGGTTGGGGAGGGAGTACAGGTATGTCTGTGTAGAGATTGGGGGCGGGTTTGGGGAAGGGGTACAGGTATGTCTGTGTAGAGATTGGGGGTGGGACTTGGGGAGAGGTACAGGTATGCCTGTGTAGCGATTGGGGGTGGGGTTTGAGAAGGGGGTACAGGTATGTCTGTGTAGAGATTGAGAGCGGGGTTTGGGTATGTCTGTGTGTGTGTGTTGGGGATGGGGGTGTGTGTCTGTTTTTGAAAGGCCACAGCAGTGAAATCCTTTTGGAGCAGTTCTGTGCTCTGTACACGTGGGGTTGCCCTGAGTTGGAATTGATTTTACAGCAACTAACAACAGTGGTCCCATGATCTCATATATTCTCGTTAAGTTGAAAGTACACCCCTACAAAGAATTAGAGAGGAAAACTGACCATTGAACCACAGTAGAACTTCAAGTTCAGTTTAGAAGAGTTTTTATTATTACACTAGATTTCTGAGCAGTTGGGAAATAGCACGCCACCTAAAGATCTCATGTCATGAGAGGGGTGCCCTGAAACTGCTGTTAAGAGTTGTCTGTGTTCTTTTTCCCACTTCTTCAAAGGGTTAACTGTTTTCTTCTTTTTGCAGGTAAGGAGGGTATTGTAAATTTTCGTTAATAAGCCCTTTGTCTATTGGGTCTTTGCTAAAAATCCTCTCTCAGTCTGTGGGCTGCTTTGTTACCCTCTTGGTAAAGTCTTTTGATGCACACAGGTGCTTTATCCTTAGTTAATCACATTTGTCAATTTCAGATTCCCCTGCCCTACTGTAGTTAACCTTTGTATTCCCTGGACCAAGGTTCTTAGGTTTGTCCCGATTCCTTCGCTAATGGCCCTGATGGTTTAGGGTTTTACTTCTAGGTCTGTGACCCACCTTGAGTTTGGTTCCTGTGCATGGGGTGAGGTAAACATCTTGTTTCATTTTCCTACAGGTGGATATCCATTGTTTCCAGCACCACTTGCTGCTTTTGGGGCCCTGGTCAAAGATCAGGTGTATGTATGCTGATGGTTTTATTTCTGGGTTTTCTACTCTTTTCCATTGGTCTATGTATCTATCATTATGCCAGTACCACGCTGTTTTGACCACTGTGGTTTTGTAGTAGATGTGAAAGTCAGATAAAGCGAGCCCTCCAACTCTGCTCTTCTTCTTGAGGAGATTTCTGCTAATTCTGGGCTTCTTCTCCCTCCATATGAAATTGGTGGTCAGTTTTTCCAATTCTCTGAAGATGATTGTTGGTATTTGAATCGGGATAGCATTAAACTTACAAAGTGCCCTAGGTAGGACAGACATCATTACTATATTGAGTCTTCTAATCCAAGGTGTCGAAGGGATCAGGTTTCAGGCATCAAAGAAGGAAAAATCATATCACTGTGTGCTCGCCTTCCTGATATGATCGCTGAGGACAAATGGTGGCATAAGCAAGTGTGGTGAAGAAAGCTGATGTTGCCCAGCTATCAAAAGATATAGCATCTGGGGGTCTTAAATGCTTGAAGGTAAACAAGTAGGTCATCTAGCACAGAAGCATCAAAGCCCACATGGAAGAAGCACATCCAGCCTGCGTGATCATGAAGTATCTAAGGGATCAGGTATCAAGCACCAAGGAACAAAAATCACATCATTGTGAATGAGGGGAAGTGCAGAGTGGGGACCCAAAGGCCATTTGTAGGCAATTGGACATCCCCTTACAGAAGGGCCTCAGGGAGGAGACCAGCCAGTCATAGGGCAGTACAGAAATGATGAAACATACAACTTTCTTCTAGTTCTTAAATGCTTCCCACCCCCCCACCCCCACTGTCATGATCCCAATTCTACCTTACAAATCCAGCTAGACCAGAGGATGTACACTGGTACAGATGGGAACTGGAAACACAGGGAATCCAGGACAGATGAACCCTTCAGGTCCAGTGGTGAGAGAGGTGATACCAGGATGGTGGAGGGAAAGTAGGGTAAAAAAGGGTAACTGATTATAAGGATTTACATATAACCTCCTCTCTGGAGGTCGGTCAACAGAAATGTGGGTGAAGGGAGGCATTGGACAGTGTAAGATATGACAAAGTAATGACTTATAAATTATCAAGGATTCATGAGGGAAGGGGGAACGGGGAGGGAAGGGAAAAATGAGGAGCTAATGCCAGGGGCTCAAGGGGAAAACAGATATTTTGAGAATGATGATGGCAACAAATGTACAAAGTGCTTGACACAATGGATGGATGTATGAATTGTGATAAGTGTTGTATGAGCACCCAATAAAATGATTAAAAAAAAAAAGTTGTCTGGGCTCAGTAAGTCTAAAATCCAGATCTCACTCAAGTGGAAATGCACTTCTTCAATTCCCAATGGGTATTCTTCTTGGAGAAGAGACAGACAAGGGTACAATGTCTCCAAACCCAATGTTTTTCAAAAGCACATCACAAAGGAATCATAAAAATTCAGGGAACAGACTGGTTTTCAGCTTTCCAAAAGTATAAAATGGAAAAGGAACTCCAGCTACCTTTGACCTGTTCTAAAGGCAGGATGAGATGTCCTGAGCAATCTAGAAATGGTTCACCCAAAGCAGTGGAACCTAAAGTTTTTGTGGTTTAATTTTATAGCATCTCTTTTCTTCCAATGTAGCCTCAGAAGAGTTACAGGATGGAGCATAATTGAATAAATAGAGCAGGTATAAGATTTCTGCAATATATTTTGCATTATTATAGGTACTTGATGGCAGTGACTCTCAAACTCTAGAGAGCTTAAGGTGACTTGCTAACCAGGCTGAATTCAGCCCTTATTTCTAGATCGTCTGTATGGGAAAGGCCAGAACCATGACTTGGGATTCATGAATGAAAACAACAGCAATAAGGAAGGGAAAAAAAACAAAACCCAAAACAAAGATGCTTCTGAACGCTACAGTCTTGTCTCTAGAGAATGAATAAATCAATGTTTCATAGTTACATTTTTAAATGGGTATTTTGGTTTTATTTTCATTTGACTTCAGTCTTCCTTGGACCCCTGAAGGTGTAGTGGTTATGCGTTGGGCTGCAACCTGTATGGGCTTTTTACTCCAGTAAACAATTACAGTCTCATAACCCACAGGGGTTGCCATGAGCAGCACTGACTCAATGACATAGAGTTTGGTTTGGGTTTTCAGTCTTCATTAGAGATTTTATTATGTTAGCGAAAAGGGGTATTAGTACATAGAAAATCTATTATGGCTGAGAGATGTGTAACTATAGCAAGTAATAAGGAAAGATGAACTTGCTCTGTCCCTTATCATCAGGGAAACTTAGCAATTGAAAATAGATTACTTTAATGACTGCTTTCAGTGGAGGAGGGGACATGGGGGGTGAGTAGTAGAGAAGAAGAAATCAAGTTGTTTACCTGGTAGGTTCAGTTCTTCCAATTCAATCACGGAACGATTGCTGCTATAATAGTCCTTCAGCAATTTCTGTAGATCTCCAGGGGTTCCTGGTTTGGGTTCTGATTTTGCAAGAATATCAGTAATTTTCTTCTAAGATATGAGGAGGAAATGGGGGAAGATATATTAGAATGGGATTTGGTTGAGGATAGGTTGATTTAAAGTGAATGTAGCATTTGTTAATTGTCAACTGTGAATGTGGGTCTTCGAGGTGAACTTGAAAAAAATTTAGCAAATTTTTTTTTTGGACAGAACTATCATTTTGGAAAATGAATAGAAGAGCTAAAGGACTTTTTGTAACTATTGGACCTATGGCTTGGAGGAGAACTGAAATTCTTGTAGACATCTCTGGATTAGGATATGACTTTCTGCTAAAAAAGAGGAAATCTTGTTGATATGGAAAAACTAGCTGATTTGTATTTCTGGGAGGATGAATTTTGAAAATTTCTTGCCCAACCTGATTTTTGAGGTGCTCAGTCTGTCACTTTGGGTTTCTGGGGTCAGAACAGAATTTGCAGGAGTACTCTGAGCAGAGGTGGCAGTGAAAGGTGGTGTTTGACCTTGGCTTCTAAAGTTTTAGGAGACTGTCATAAAAGTCTATGGGAAGTAGACCACATTTACAGGAAATAATTTACAACATCTATTTTGATTTGGACTCATTTGTGTAGCACTTCATGAATGCCTGCAGTGTAGGAACACACAATTATTTTTTCAATTCTCAGCATAAACTTCCCTTCTCACTTCCTTCTAAGGTTTCACCAAAGATCCAGAAAGCACCATTTCCCTTTCTCCTCCCTCCTCTCCCTGCAGCCATTTCCCTTCTTTCCGCAGTAGTCTCAATTCTACACCACTGCCAAGATTGGTCAAGGTTTTTTCAAATGAATTAACTTAGAAATATGTTATCAATGGGCACATATTCGTGTGACCTCAGTTAAGGCTAAACTCTCTAGCGAGAGTTCTGACCTAGAGAAGTTAACACTCCTGAAAGCCATTAGTGTACAAACTATCAAAGAGAAGTTAAAGTCACTTCTTTAAGGACTTGCCAGACCTCAACCAATTTGGCATCTCTTGTCTTCCTATTTGGCCATTTGTGAGAAAAGAAAACATATGCAGAGACCCTCTTAGCTTTCTAAAAGCTTGCTGTTTAAGTAATTGGGTTGAGTCCATCTTCTTCCCTCTAATCCCAATCATATTTCCTCTGCCGACTTCAGCAGTAGACTTTTCTTGGCAGGGAGAGAATCACACTGCTGTTTGTGCAACTGTGGTGGAAGGCCAAAGCTAACCAATTTTTATCCTATGTTGAAACATGAGACAGTTTGTATAGGAGCAACAGAGGCTTCCCTACGTGGACAGGCAAATGTGAAAAGGGAAGGGAGCTTAATAGCCTGAAATTCTGGTTCCAAATTAGGGTCAGAAATGCCTATGTTTACACTACCTTTAGCTGCTTATTATTTTCTTTGCATTAGTACTCAAATATCTTAGATCTGAAAGACTAGACTCCATAGACTAGACTGCAAGAAAAGGAAGGTTGGTAAGTTTCTTTTCTGGGCAATCTGATTCATGATGGTTGCACTCCATCTCATCCCACGTCAGAGAGGCTAGAGGGCAAGATGGCAGTAGGCCCTTTCTAGAGTTGTTAACACAAGCCTGACCTTTTAGCCAGCGTGAAAACAGGGTAGATGGAAGAGAGGCTTGATGCTCCTTGAGATGGATAGAAGTCAGAAAAGTAAAATAAAATATATTTCACTACAGCAGAAATACCATGCTGAACCTGACAAATGTCCTTATCTCTGGAGTATTAGAATGACTGTCTTCTCAAAGTACCATGTTTACAAGTGTGATGAAAATCATGGGAGGCCCAACTTCAGAAGACAGCATTAATAGTACCTTCTTCCTCCTCTTGGTCTTTGTGGCCTCCTGCTTCGTTTCCTTTGGATGTATCAAGAAACATTCTTTAGGCTATGAAGAGATACAAAGAAGAAAAAGTTCCTCTTATATGAGACATCAGTGAATGGCATAAATCTCTACGCGTCCCTCGCCATGCATGTACTCTTCAGTCTCTTGGTAACATCTACATACAAATTGCTGCTGAGACACTCACTGTCGACTGCAATGCAGGGTCTGGGTTGAGAGAACATGAGGCAGTCAAAAAGGACAGAGGTATTCCGGCTGGAAAATCTTCGCACAAATGTTGAACAGTGTATAAGCCCATTTGAGGTAGAAGTATAAGGTACTCAAAATTAGCATAGTAAACAGGGTTACAAAATACAGGTAGAAATAGATGTGATTAAGATGTAATAAGACAGTCTTTGACTAGAGTGATTGGGATTTTCCATGAATTAGTTATTTGTGATTCTGCATTTCACATCACTGTTGGTTTTTTTTAATCATTTTATTAGGGGCTCATACAACTCTTATCACAATCCATACATACATTAATTGTGTAAAGCATATTTGTGCATAATTGCCCTCATCATTCTCAAAACATTTGCTCTCCACTTAAGCCCCCGGCATCAGCTCCTCATTTTCCCCCCTCACATCACTGTTATTTTTTAATTTTAAAATTGTACATTGTCCAAAATACAACTGTCCTTCCTCTTTTCAATATGCATAGAAAATCTAAAACAGGATATACTTACTGACATTTTTATAAAACCAGTTTCATCTATGGTGACTACAAAGTGAATGTTTTTGCTGATGGTCTTGGTCCACAGCACCCAGAATAATCTATTTTGCCTGTGGCCCTGCCTACATAGTACCCTATATAGTTGAGAGCTATTTTTTTATCCCAAGGATTTTGTTTTGTTCTTGAATGTAGAAAACTGGTAAAATGGGACTAAGACCTTGATTTATAAAAAAGAATGCCTCATATTCCTTATTGATTAGTAAAAATCAGGAATATAAAATATTTCCTGTGCTGGATCTTTCATTCAACAACTTCCAACAAGTTGCCAAGAAAGATAGAAAATGTAAAGTGAAAGCATTCTGAGTTTCCCCTTGATTAAGTTTCTATTCCAAGTGGACGAGCACTCAGTTTAAGCTAGTGAGCTACTAACCAGACTGACTCTTCATCTGATTACAGATGAAGCTTTCTACTCAAGCTTGCAGACAGCCTGCAGATTAAGAATGGTGGTGGCCTGGAGCCAGGGAGAGACATAACAATACATAATTTCTTCACGACATGAAGTCAGGACCGGCAGTTTCTAGACTCCATTTCAGTTAGAGGAGATGTAGATTCTAAAAGTTCAGGATTAAAGTAACATAGGAGAGTCTTGAAATTTGGGGCTCTCCTCTCAGTGAAAACCAAACCCAAAAAAGCACAAAGAGCAATTGCATCATAGCTAAAGAAAGATCTTATGACCTAATTTCTTATTTAGAAAGTTAAGCTGCCTTTTGGATTCGGATGTGCCAATTTGATGCTGGTACATGCCAATTAGAAACTGGGCCAAGGACACTAATATGTCACAGAAGCTGCCAGATAGTCATAAGAGTCCAATTACAAATGAGGCCAACATTTAGCACATGCTCCTAAGGCAAAGGCCTGGATACAATTAGTAGATCCCCTAAGACAAACTTCAGTATCTCAATATCAAGGTCTCAGGAAGCAGGTTTAGAAACGTGTTCTATTTTCTTATTTAGAAAGTGTGCTTGTTCTTAAAGTATGCTCAACTTGCCAGGCTATGTCAGGTTTACAAAGCCAATTAACTCAAACATCACACAAATCAAATCCGGAAACGAACTCAGTTATAAGGACACAGACTCTCCAATTATGGAAGAAAAATAAAAATGCAATTCTGAATCATATATGAAAGGATAACGCCCCCCAAAAAATGGGGAGAAAGAAACTCCGCTGGGTGGACCCCAAGTCTGAAGTCTATTTTTGGAATTACTCGGGGACTTGTTGCTTTGCTCCCCTTGCTGCTCTGTTGCGTTCCTTTCCTGTTTCGCCGCAGTGTCAGAGGGTCAGACCAGGCACAATTCGCACGCTGTCCCCGTAGTGCTAGGGTTCAGTGAGGGGATGTTGTGTCTTGTGGTGGGGCCAGCCCTACAGTTCTTTCTGTGCATTGGCTGCTCTGAGCAGGTAGGTTATCCCTGTGGTTTGGTGGGCCAGGTTGCAGTCTTCTCCCTGCTTCTCTCCCCATCTCTTTTCCTCTTAGTTTGGTCCTGTGAGGTCTGGGCAGACCCACCCCTCTCCCCGGGCTGTATCTTCAGTGCTGTCCTCTGTAGAGCATTCTTCTGGGGCGGGGGTTGACGTAGCTGGGATTGGGGCGAGCCCCGCAGACCTCTCTGTTAGTTTCCGGCTTCATGCTGGTACGTTGCCTTCAAGGCTTGGCGCACCAGATTGAGATCAGGTCCCTCTCTCCCTTTCTTGGTTGCCATCCTCGCGGAAGTCCCTGTAATGCCATTTATTTCTATGGAATGTAGCAATTGTAAGTACGCTGTCTGAAGGACAACAGTTTCCTCAAAACATAATACATAAATAAAGGTTTCTAATGAAGAAAGAAAACACTTCATGTTCTCAGTTCTTTGCAATGTAAAAGGAAAAGAAAAGAAAGGATCGCCAAAAAAGAAGAAAAGGATCTCTTAAGAACGATTCTCCTGGCAAACCAATCTCAAAATTCCATGAAAATAAAAATAAACAAAGTTAAAAAGGTATGGCTCTATAAAGGACCAAGAAACTACTTGCAGTGGAGAGATTTCAACAACGTTTTGGAAAGTGAAAAATCATTAAAAGTAGATGACTTAGCGGAGAGAATGGTAGTACCTGGGGGTCTGGAGAGGCAGAACTAACAATAAGTTAAGTTTGTTTGACCTGCTAGATGGAAAAGGTCGAGTACTTGGAATCATAAGATACTAGAGACAGCAAAGAACTGAAGAGAAAGAGATTGACTGAAGGTTTATATTTAGAAAACTTAGCCCCAGCCCCTACCCTCACTGGGCTGTATCTCTTACCCAGGCAGTCAAGACAACTATAAAACCACCACTTCCTCTCACCTTGTCCTTCTTGGCAGCAAACTGGGAGGGGTGGGGTGGGGTGGGGGCTAGGAGAATTAAAAGAACTCTGGCCCAGTGGAGAGAGTGCAGTGATGGAGACTCATCTCCACCACCTGTCCTTGTTCTAGAATGTCTGGAGCCAGACATATATTGAGACAGGAGACAAGTGAATTCTTCTCTGGACAAATGAATGGCTTAAGAGAAGTTCCAAGGAGCCCTGTGGCACAGTGGACTTACACGGTGAGCTATTCACCATGGTTTGAAAACCAGCACTCACTGCAAGGGAGAAAGAGGAAGCTTTCTGTGCCATAGAGATTTCCTGCCTCAGAAACCCGAAGAGGGCAGTTCCACCCTGTGCTATAAGGCTGCTTGCTATCAGTTAGAATTGACTCAATGACAGTGAGTTTGGGTTTCTAAAAAAAAGATGCCAATGATACAGTATGACCTTCCTACGATAAAAATCCAGCTTGTTATCCTATCACTTGCTCACAAAGTCTACTAATTATCAAGCCCCATTCCTGCACGAAATCTTTCCATCAGCTTTTTAGTGTATCAACACTAAGGAAAGTCTCAAACCTAACAGAAAAAGCTAACAGTACGCAAACAGGGAGGGAAGCCAATAAACAAAGAGCCCTGAGAAAAGAGAGCCAGTGAAAGATTTTATAGCTTTGAAATAAGCTCCCCCACAACACAAAAAAAGTCAACTGCCATTAAGTCGATTCTGTCTCGTACTGATGTGACATAGGATTTCCGAGACTGTAAGTCTTCATGTCAGCAGATAGCCTCACCTTTCTCATATGGAGTGGTAAGTGGGTTTGAACCTCCAGCCCAATTCCTAAGATACAGCACCACCAGGGTTCCAACTACAGGATACTATAAAAATGAACAGTCAAAATATTTAAATATCAAAACAAATAGAAAATTTGAATATAAAATGTAAGTAAAGAAAATCTCCCACATAGAAAGACAAATAGAGAAGACAGTTAAGAAGATTAGAGAACCATCCCAAGAGATTCAATATAAGGTATTACAGAAAAATAGCTCATATAACACAGTGGGAGAAGTCATGATCAAAGGGAAAAAAATACAATGAAAATTTTCTGAAACGGTGAAGAAAGCTGATGGTGCCCAGGTATCAAAAGATATAGCATCTGGGGTCTTGGTGGCTTGGAGGTAAACAAGTGGCCATCTAGCTGAGAAGCAGCCAAGCCCACATGGAAGAAGCACACCTGTGTGATCATGAGGTGTTGAAGGGATCAGGTTTCAGGCATCAAAGAAGGAAAAATCATATCATTGTGAGCTCACCTTCATGACATGATCGCTGAGGACAGATGGGTGCGTAGGCAAATGTGGTGAAGAAAGCTGATGGTGCCCAGCTATCAAAGGATGTAGCATCTGGGGTCTTAAAGGCTTGAAGGTAAACAAGCGGCCACCTAACTGAGAAGCAACAAAGCCCACATGGAAGAAGCACACCAGCCTGTGTGATCACGAGGTGTCGAAAGGATCAGGTATCAGGCATCAAGGAACAAAAAATATCATAATATTGTGAATGAGAGGGAGTGCAGATTGGGGACCCAAAGCCCATCTGTGTGCAAATGGACATCCCCTTACAGAAGAGTTGCGGGGAAGAGATGAGCCAGTCAGGGTGCAGGGTAGCAACGCTGAAACATACAACTTTCCTCTACTTCTTAAATGCTTCCTCCCTCCCACTATCATGATCCCAATTCTACCTGACAACTTTGGCTAGACCAGAGGATGTACACTGGTACAGATAGGAACTGAAACACAGGGATTCCGGGGCGGATGATCCCTTAGGACCAGTGGTGTGAGTGGCAATACCGGGAGGGTGGAGCAAAGGTGGGGTAGAAAGGTGGAACCGATGACAAGGATCTACATTTAACTTCCTCTCTGGGGGACAGACAATAGAAAAGCGGGTGAAGAGTGATGTCGGAGATATGACAAAA